AAAGGTCCCTAACTGCAGATTTTCCCAGTGCAATGCATCTCTTTTTTTCCTGACTGCTCATACCAAGGGTGTTAACTGTGGATCCAAGCAAGATGATGCTGTTGACAGTTTTAATCTCCTCTGCATCCATTATGACACGGACTATTGGTCCAATTTTAAGAATCTTTGTTTTCCTGATATTAAGAAGCAATCAGTACTGAAGGCTGCAATACTAGATCATACTGAAATATTTGTCACTGGTGTGTCAAATTCCAAAAGGGTTTCCTATCAAGATGGGTTTTAGTGGGGCTCCATGATTAAGACGAAGGAGAAAACAAGATGGGCCATCTACTTCCTAAATAAAAGACTTTGAAAACCCTATGAACACTAAACAAAGAGGAGAGTTATAGTAGTATAGTGGTAGAGCCCAGATTGGAAGTCAAGTAAATGACGGTACAAATAAGTAATAAATTAAAAAATAAAAAGACGTGTTGCATTGGGGAAATCTACTATTAAGAATCTCCCAAAAGTGCTAACGAGCAATAATGTCAGTTTAAAGACCAATTATGGCTGTTATGAGTCACGGTCATTTTAATTACTTACTATGCATCTGAAAGCTGGACAAGACTAAGAAAGGCAGAAAAAGAAGTGATGCGTTGAGGTACAGTGTTGGAGAAGAGCACTGAATATCCCACGAGCTGCCAAAAGAACAAACAAATCTGTCTTGGAGAAAGTGCAACAAAGGAGGCAAGGATGGTGAAGCTTCATCTCACCTACTATAGTTAATGTTGTTAGGCGGTATTAGTTCTTAGAAAAAAATATATTCATGTACGCAAATGTGGAAGGTCAGTGAGAAGACCCTTAACAAGACAGAATGACAGTGACTTTAACAAATGGCTCAAGTCTATCAAAGACGGTGAAGAATGGCAAAGGATAGGGCCAGGTCCATATCCATTGATGAACAATGGTCACTAATAGTCACAGCCAGCTCAAGGGCACATAACAACAACAGAGGTAGCCCTAGAGGTTAATTAAAAAGCACTGCAATCCCGAAGGCATGGAGGTTCGAATCCACCAGCTACACTGTGGGAGAAAAATAGGCAATCTCCTCCCGTGTGATTAACTGCTTGCCTCTGAAAACCTGCTGGAGGGTCAACTATGGGTTGGTTCCAACTCTACAGTACACAACAACAACAACAATAAAAGGTTAATGGTTTGAACCCACTAGCTGCTCCATGGGAGCGAACACCTGGCAATATACTCCCATAGAGATCACACTTCTATGAGGCAGTTCAACTCTCTTTTATAGAGTTGTTATGAGCTGGAATCAGCCCAGGGCAACAGGGTTTGGTTTGCATTCTCTTCCATCCGGGTATTAACTCCTTAGTAAGGAACCTGCACTTTGTTTGGTTATTATTGTTTTTAATAAGAAAAATGTTTCTCTAAGCTATAATAAAATTGTTTTGTGATGTGGTTGGTGTTCAGTGCATCAGTTAAGGAATGACCAATACAGAGCAACTGAAGAGTTTAAAAGTGTATTTCACTTGAGATAACGAAAACCTTTAGAAATAGGTAGTGGTAAAGGCTGCAATACAAGGTGAATGCAATTAATGTACTAAATTGTAGGCTTACATAGGGTGAAAATGGCAGGTATTTTTGCTATATGTATTCATGTAAGTTACATAAAAATGGAAACTGATTTCATTATTTCACTTTGAGAAGATTATGGATGCTTCCAATCTGGGGCAAGACTTAGGAATCTGTAGTTTTAACAAGCATCCCAGTGGAAACTGCAAGTGATCCTTACCACAGTAGAAGAGAAAGTGATGTAATTATTAACACCCATTTCATTTCTGGACTATCACTTTCCCGAAGTCTTTAGTCCCTGATCTAAAAGAAGCTGAAATACCACTAGAGACTAAATGCTCAACCTTAAAAAGCTGCAACATCTCATATTCTATGTCACATAAATCACACTTTAACACATACGTATACTGACAAGATAAAATGATGACACCAGCTGTCATCAAGTTGATTCCAACTCATGGCAACTTCACATGGAGCAGAGCACCTCTGTGCAACCCAAGGTTCTTCATGGTGCATTTTCTGGAAGGAGATCACCAGGCCTTTCTTCTGAGGTACCTGTGGGATCTGAACTTCCAAATTTTCAATCAGCACTTGAGCATGTTAACTATTTGGACAACTTGAGGACTCTAAAACAGTAAAAGCCACTCCATAAATGTTTAGATTGTCTAAAGTTTACATATTTGGGACGGTCTTTTGAATCTTTACACTGTTATATATAACCGTTCTCTCTTTTACTTCCATATTTCTTCACTGCTAAACTTACTATGTTTGACCGTTGTCTATACTGTTTGACCACTGCCCATCCCATATTTGAGAAATCTGTGGGGAGGTACCCAGCAGGTCTCACCTCCTTACCAGAGGACACTGAACAAAGAGTAATTATAAGACTCTTCATGAGAAAGGGATTCTAATCAGAATTCTCAAGAGACAGAAAAAGAACACATAGGAATGCTGTCCTTCCTTTCCTAGATATGTGATGAAAACACAAAAAACGCACTGAGGTCTAAATAGAGGAAAGAGAAGAAACGTTGTCAAGGTGCAATCTTATCACATTGACCAAAGATTCAAGCCACGATAGGAAGAGAAAGATGTTCCAGAGGATTAGCCACTCACCGCCTGCTCATCAAGAGGAGATTCAGCAGCCTCTTTTGGACCCATAACCAAAATCCTTCCACGTCATGCCCAGGGCACCAGAGGCAGCAGCAGAGTGGAAGGAGACTTCCCTGACCCCCTCAGGATGTTGACCGCTCTCACCTTCTAACTGGGGCACAAAAAGCTTTTATGGACTTAACTAGGAAGTGTTGGCAGGAATGGAAGTGTGATGGACATGCTAAGGTGAGTTTTCATCACCTAAATAGAAACTCTACAAAGCCTGGAACATTTCTGAAGAAGCAGCACTGAAATTCTCTCAGCTTCCCAGAGTACCTCCCAGGACATTTTTCAGTTACCAGCAGAGCTGCAGCAGGAGGCATACCCACTTTCAACAGCCACACAAACCAGGGAGCATCTCCAGGAAGCGCACACATGAGCAGCATCAAACATCTGGATCTACCTCCAAGCAAACCCACCTTCCGAAGCTCATTTACGGATGCCAACCACATGAATTCCCTTCAATCTTATACTAATAATATAGAGGAAAGATGTGCTTACAACACCCTGATTTAGGATTTGTTTAAAATCGAGGATAATCTATTTTGATTTGAGGATGCCTATTTGTAATTCTTCTTTGCAAAGAATAATTAATCTTATTTCCCAATGATGCATTGTTCCTTTTATTTTCCCTCTCACATCCTCCAAATAAGATGAGGGCCTATACATACCTCCAGGTCGTTAGTCTCACTCACTCACACCTTCATGCCACTGCATCAGAACCAACGCATAGCTGCCTCTCCACTGGGTTTCCAACACTGTCAATCACATGGGAGGAGACTGTCCATCACTCTCCCTTAGCGCTACTTGGGAATTGCAGCCACCAGAGAGGTGCGCTCTTTGCGTTAACAGCACAGTTCTCTACACAATAAACCAGCAGAGCTCCCTATTTAAAGTCCAACCTCATGAAATAGTTTGATGACACAGAGGACAAGCTCATTAATGACAAACAACAGCAGCTACTACTGTAGAGAGCATGTTATGCACCATTGACCAAGTATCATATGCATATCTCCTTGAATTCTAACAATTCTAGGAACTTGGCACAATTGTCCTCTTCATTTTTCAGATATGAAATCTAAGCTCTGAGAGATTAAGTAACTTGACAAAGTCACAAGCTGGATTCAAATTGTCTGACTTGAAAGCTGAAATGTGTAACAACTCAAGTCGGTTGGCAGGAGCTTGTGGTTTCGGCTCCGAGGGGCAGGTTCTCTCCGTGGGTGCCCCTGCACCATCCAGCAGCCACACTATGAGCGGGCTCCATGCCCTAAGGGGTCGTTTCAAGTCTACAGCACAGTGAGTGAGACACCCAGCCCACGAGCAGCCTCAGTGTTCTCAAAAGCTGGGAAAGGTGGGCCAGAGAAACTTCTCAGACAACACAGAAATAAAATATGATAGAATGGTGCTCGCTTTGGCAGCTCATATACTAAAATTGGAAGGATACAGAGAAGATCAGCAAGAAGTGTTCCTTTAAAAAAAATATGATAGAATGGCGTATTTAAAAAAAAATAGAAAAAAGCAGAACCAAAAAAACTAATTGTCAAGGAACCAAAAGTTGGCATACTGTCCACCCTCCACTGGGTTTCAGAAAAGCTGTAAATCACACAGGAGGAAATGCCTGTCTAATGCCAGGAGACATTAGATAGCAGTATATGAGAATCAAACTGACGCTAAAGGATGCTGGAAAAGTACCGACGATCTTGAGCAGCCAGCCCAACTAAGCTTGGCCCATATCTTTTATTCAAAGCATTAACCTGTTGCCAAGTAAAGTGTCTTGAGGAACTGGAATGTTGTTAAACTAGCTCAAGGTCATTAAATGGTGCAACTTAATGAGAGACGCTATAAACCTTGAGGAATACAACACAGAGCTATCTATGATAATTCTCTTTCCTGGATATGCTCTGTGCACACTGTAACTAAAAGCTCATTTCTATTAGTGAGTATCCCACACTACATCATTTTATTATTTTTTTAAAGTACAGAAATTAAAAAAGATGACACAACCATGCTCAAGAATCCTAGTCTCCTATAACATACATTGCTGAGAACAGAAGCAATAATATTCAAACAAAAGAAAAAAAAGTTGGTGGTTTTGTGTGAAAGATAAAAGATGAAAAGTGCTGTATTGATCCTTGCATTTCAATAAAAGGCTTGGAGGCCTTCCCAAACAGAACATAGATGAAGAAGGAAAAAGGAAGAGAATACCCAGAAAAGATCTGGAGTAAGGTAAAATAAGTAATTCAAATTTAATGTTTGTTCCTGAGAAAAATATGACAGCTACTCACCTATCTACAGCTTCGACATCAAAGCAAAACCTCTTTTCAATAGAATCTGTTTTCCGCCTTGTGCAGGACTTCAGGGTGACAGACTCATCTTCTCCCTGTTAAATACACAAAACACAAATTAAAAATAAATTAAAAATCTAAAACAACATGTTGCACTAGAAAAATACACTGTCAAGGTCCTCTCCGAAGTGCAATGATGTCAGCTTAAAGACTAAGATGCACCTGATCTAAGATATTTTGAATTAAATATAAAGCCAGAGTGTAGGAGTTGCTCCTCTACAGAAAAAACAAGACACATGGATAGGAGTGATCATCTCGTCTCCTTAAACCTGAGCATTTGTGATCATCTGAGATAAAGGGGATTCACAAACTTTCTCCAAAGAGAGGCTCAGGTAACAAAAATTTGACAAATGTCTTTAATTTAATACTTACTGATCATGATGGCTTAGTCTTAACAAAACTGGTCTGTGTGTGTGTGTAGACAGACAGATGGGCAGACAGACAGACAGATAGATCACTCATTCATTCATTGTCATTGAGCTAGAACTGACTCATAGCTGACTTTCTAGTGGGTTTTTAGAGGCTGTAATCACGTGGGAAGAGACTGTCCTTCTTTCTCCATATGTATGTGTGTATTTATATATTTATATTTTTATCTAAGACATATACACACACACATA